GGGCTGCACCGGCCACCGGGCCCCGAGCGAAGCCGGCGCAGGGCACCGCGGCGGAACCCCCGCAGCACCAGGTACGAAGAGCCCAGCCTGCTCTCGTCTCTGCCCGCGGTTTACCGGGGAGGGTGGCCAGGCTGGTCCCCCCCCTCCGCCGCCAAGTCACGGCGCAGTTTCTTGCTCGTTCAGATTGACAGACGGACTCGTGCCAAGCTCCAGCCTCTCTCTCTCTCTCCACGGCCACACAAGTTCATCCACATACTGATGGCTTCTGGAGCAGGTCTGTGCACTCTCTGCCCCTGCTCTTGGGCAACCCGGCCCGGGTGGCCAGAGGAGCTCAGCGAGGAACAAATGAAATACCTGCAAAGCCAGAGTCAGATGAGAGTTGTAGCCTCTCCTGACCATGTCGTGCATCGCTCTGAGAGAAGGCACTTGTTTGCATCTGTGGCACATCAGAACAGAGCAGTGCACAAAAGCTCTGGTGACAGTTGCTGCGAGCCCCTCTCATTGCAAGAGGGTATCGCAGGGTCCCAGGCATGTGCCACTGTGCTGCCAAATATTCCCCACGTGCATCTCTAGCTCCGCTCCTTCCAGCACAAGTCTCCCCTGTACCCTCTTGCCGCCTAGAGCGAGGTATTGACAGCTCTCAGGTCAGTGCCATCCTCATTTGACCTTTCTTCCCCTTCTCTCATGGCTGCTTTCCCACGTGCCAATATACCTCATCTCCTTGCTGAAGAACCAGGACACCTTTGTTTTAAGAAGACTTTGCAATAGTATCTTTCATTACATGGGCTCATCCCAAGGCCTGTGGCTGCAACTCTGAGTTAAATTCATCCCCTGCTTGTTAGCTCTGCCAAACCACCATTCACCCACTCCATTTCCTGAGCTGGGTCAGCGGCACTATCCTGTCTCCTGGCCCTGTACCTGGGCACAGCAACACACTCGACACCAGAGACTTGGTAGGGAACTGACCTACACAGCAGCCCAGCTGTGGCCGCGGAGCAGCCGCAGCTCCCGCTGCCACCAGTCCAGGCTGAGTTTCTTCTCCAGAATAACCCACTCATCGTTCCACAGGGCTGAAGTCACCACTTTGGGTGGAGATGCCCCGAGAGGCAGCTGGGCTGGTGCAGAAGAGAAATATAAATAACAACATGCAGAGGTGGTACTGCAGCTGGCAGTGACGGGGAAGGGCTGCACAGCCAGCAGAAGGAGGGGTGCTGAGGCAGCATCCCGGCCATCTCCCCTTGTACGACCTGAGAAACCTGGACAGTAGCCGGGCTGTCAGAAAGCCACCGCTGCCGCCTGCCACGCTGCCCAAACTCACTGCTGCTGCGCTGCCTCCTGGCACCTGCTCTCTCCAATTTGGATGGCAAATACTCCAAAGTGGGGACTAATGTTTTCAAGTCACCTGGCACAGGTTTTATGCTCCGTAATTGCCCAACCTAGGCACAGTACTAATGCTAATTAAACACAAGAAAGAAAAAAAGAAAGAAGAGCTCAGCGTTGGGCACACTAAAGGATAACATCTCTTGGTTTACTACCAGTGCATTGCTATAATTTTAAATGTGTGTTATTTATGAGACAGATAAAGTAGACCTCTGAGGGACACAGCGTTAAAAGGCTTCATTGTATCTTTTTTTGCATTATGCTTATTATTTTATTCTCTTTTTCTCCACCAAAATAATATTGGAGAAGGGAGAACAGGGCCAACGTGAGTTAACATCTGTGAACATCAGAGGGAAAAAAAAGTGAGCATTCAGGAAGATTTGGATGGAGGATGTGGTTGGACTTGCATCGCTGGGAATGACATCGTACCACGTAACTTATTCCGAAGCCCTTTTCAAAACATACAAGCAATATTTTGTATTTCCACCTTAGGACCCCAAAGTGCTTTGTAAATATCAATTCATTTATCTCTGTAACACACAAGACAGCGGGTCTTGAAAAATCTGTTGATTAGTGACAGGAGGAAGCTTTCCTCATGGAGAAGTAAATATATAAAACATTCCAGACCTTATGATTGGAAAGATGATCTGCCGAATATAAAATAATGCAGCATTGTTTTCCTGGGGCTGCAGACAGACAGCTGTAGTGCCTCTGTGGCTGCTGCTGAGAGGTTGCCAAACACCAGCGAGATTAACAAAACTGCTCAGTTTTCTTGCTGCTATTCAGCGTCTCGTGTGTGGTAGAGTGACACTATCAAAATCATGTCCACTTCCTGCTGAGGAGGATGATTGGCAAAGCTCTGCCCAGCACCAGTGGCAGACACTGGAGTTATTCATGGTGAGAGGGAGGTTCCAAAAAGTGGAGGTTAGGGGAGAGGCAGGGCAGCAGCCGCCTCTTTTCCTCCCTCATCATATAAGGCTTAAGGAGAGATTGTGTCTTGGAGACCTGTCTCTAGCCAGGAGGTTTTGGCAGTCAGGTACTACGAGAAGTTTCGCTTTTCGTTTAGTTTGGACCGTTGATAAACAAACTTGAACTGGAATTCAAATAATTTTTGTAATATTTGCATTATGATGCTGAACATGCAAACCTGGAAGATATTAACTGCAGCTCCATAGGCAGCCTGGGGGCAACGCCAGTCTCTGGCAGCGGCTTCCAGTGGTGCTCGTGGCTGCTTTGGAAAGGATGCTGACCCTCTGGAGGGGCTGATGGCAAAACCTCCCTGCTAGCCCATGCACGAGGCAGCCAGGGGTGTCTGCCTCAAAGGGAACCCCCCGCTCAGCCACCTCCTGCTTGGCAGGAGCTGGCTTGGGGCAAAAGTCAGGCACATAGCGGGAGAAGAGCTATTTAGAGAAATTTAATTATTTAGACTCCTCTCAGGTGGGGGGGAGGGACAGAGTCAGCAACAGGAAGAGAGGAATGGCTGCAAAGGCACCGAGGATTTCTTTGCTTCATGTAAGAAACCTCACGGGGCAAGATTCGCAATGGGAAACCAGGCTACGTGGTGCAGAGCATTGAAGAACAGGGTGAGAAAGAATAGAGTAGAGAAACATGGCTTTATGCGAGACAGGAAAAGAAAAGAGAAACATTAGGTGTGGGTGAATAAAGAGCAGGAGAAAGGGGAGTATGAACAGTAGACAACTGGGATAACTAGAAGAAAGGAGTAAAGGAAGAGAGAGGACAAGATTGGAGCAGCAGAAGAAAAAAGAGGGGAAAGAGGTCTGCATGGAATGGGAAAAAAAACTAAATCATCAAGAGAACTGGTAGCACAGTAAAGGAGAGGTCTCTGAAGGACAGTAGGAGATTGCAGGCTTCCACTTGCTGTTCTGGAAATGATGGCTAAAGGAAAAAAATCAGAGAGCCCTTCCTGCTATTCTCCCTCTCTACAAACTCTAAAAACTACTACATGGTGTCTAGTCTCCATGATCCTATCTAAATCAGTCCAGGAAATGAGGGAGGAAACACTGACTGCTCAGTTCTAACACCAGAGCTGCTCTGCACACCAAGAGCACCCAGCACCGTGCCAGTCTGGCCACTGCGCAGGGGCCACCTCTCTGAAGGAGTTGAAAACATTTTCACTTCCCTCCCCCCCTTTTATTTTCCTTAACATAACACTCCGAAGATCGCATATAAAGTGACAGAATGCAACAACAGATTTGAAAAACGAGACCCCTCTCCTCGAAGGTGCCCTGAGCTCCACCTTCCCTCTAACCTTTTAGTGACCGTTTGTCACAGGCTTTCATCAGTCACTGCTTTCTGCTCCATCCTTGCTCCT